ATAGTTATCTGCAGGGGAAAGAAACTACACAGATAGTGACTTCTGTGCGAGGAAGGTTCCTGATAATATTTTATTCCTAGCCATGTAGAAGTTAATATATTTCTGACAGCATATGTAACATCTTTCATATAGCAGACATCTATTACTATAATTTGAGCAAAGTTGGTGACCAGAAATAGCTTACAAATTCTAAATACATGGAAATAGCCTATACATTCCAAATAGCTGGAAATATATCTTCTTTGTGACTATCAGAAAAAAGGGGCTTCAGAATATACTTGAATTAACCATCTGATCTCTTCTATATTTTAAGACAGTTTATTCATACAGCAAAAAAAGAGAAAATAAAAATATGTACTGTAGGTATTACATATAACTGATTAATATGTGCAGTAGAACCTATTTTTTAGAAAATGTAAATCAGGGGTCTTCAAACTTGGCCCTTTTATGATTTGTGGATTTCAACTCCCAGAATTCCTCAGCCAGGCACGCTGCCTGAGGAATTCTGGGAGTTGAAGTCCACAAGTCATAAAAGGGCCAAGTTTGAAGGCCACTGATGTAAATTATACTTGAAAGGCAGACAGTATTCCACAGTTTGTATGGGTTTCCCAGCTGGTTATCTTTTAATTAATAATTTAAAATTTTGTTTCTTCCTCATTAAAATGCTTGAAGAGATAATGCATTACTTACCAGGTGTCTCTTTTGCAGGCAAAACAGAAGTAAGAGAACCTTATTAGTTAAATGCAGTTAAATGTCTTTAAAAAACAATGGAGGAACTTATAGCTAATATTCTGATCTTGTAAACAAAGTATTAGTAAGGACTGTGCTGATTTGCCACATTGAAGGACAACATGATTGTTCTTACATGTAGAGTATTTCAAATGCTATAAAATCAGAACAATTGCATACTTTTGCCATGGGACTAATTCCTGCCATTTGAGGAGATTTCTAATGGGAGGTTTCTTTCCACTTCCTGTAATCCTCCATATTTTCTCAGAACCATTTCAAAATATTCCCTAGCTTATAATATTTACTTTTGTTTACTTTCTGATGTTACAGAGTGAATTTGTGAGGGAATATGCAAAAATATAGGTAGTTTTACAGAAAGGAGGAGGATCAGGAGCTTAGTTCTCAATACTCATGGCATCCCTTTCTTTCTTATAAATGTCCCCTTTCATTTTAGAACAGATTTTGAGGCAATTGGAAAGTTAAAGTTAATGTGGGAATGTTGAAAATCTATGTAATGAAACTAGAACAGGTAGAGATACACAAGGGCCCGGGAATGAAAAAAACATGGAATTTATTTTAGAAGATTAATGTCTTGGATTTTTTTTTTGAGCAGGACCTCCACCTATGCAGTATACAAAGCATTATGTAATACATGAGGGATTATATTATGCTGTGAACTGCAATTGAAATTAGAGTAAATTGCAAAAACAATTTGTGAAATGGTATGGAACTACCTTGAAATTTGATGTGCATACATTGGTATTTTCAATTCCTTCAGTATATGTTACATAAAGAGGATAATAAGACACTCTGATAATTAACAATAGTCACAGAAAAATATGTTAAATGCTATAGATCAGGGGTGTCAAACTGCTGGCCCGCGGGCCCGATGCGTCACGTGGAAGCTGCGCCCACCCCATTGCCGGCAATAGCAAAACCGGCCTGATACATTGCGTGACATCACGTGACGTCACGAGTTTGACATGCCTGCTATAGATTATCCTTCCTATTCTACACACTTCTCTACACACACTTTTCAACATTATCAGTAATGATGACCATGCTGTCTGGGAAATTCTATGAGATCTTGAAGATACACAGACTGTACATATTCCAATTAGTCACAGATAGCTGTTCAAACTAGAAAAGCAGTATAAAAACTCAGATAGTTATATGTATAAACAAAATCAATTACTTATATATTGAGAGATGTATTACTTGTTTTTCCAATGAAGGTCCCTCATGAAAATATTAATATCAGCATGTACTGTGTTAAATATAAGGGAATTATTCTCTTTATGTGCAACATTATAAAACAGAAAAATTAAATCAATTTGATTGCTGACAACATTTATCCAATGGATTTTCATGTAATTGTTGACAGTGGGGAAAGTGATTTTTCTTTACATGAAGTTTAAAGGGGGTTCTAAATGTGATTAAAATAAA